AGGCATAGAAGCTTTTGTCCTTGACAGCGTTTCTCACAGACAAAACTATAGATGTCTGATTTTTGTCTTGGACTTTTTGTCCTTGACTGAGATTAGTCTTGGACATTATGTTTTTGACCGTTTCTCACAGATAAAAGTTTGTGCGACCCAATGAGTAGCGCTTCGCCAAGTCCGCTCACTGCCGCGAGCGAACTCGCTCCGCGAATTATTACCACCAACATCCCAGCCAACAGGAACGGGTCGAGATGAGAGGGGGGTCGAGACGGGAAGGGGGGTGCCGCGCCGGGCCGCCACCTGGCCAGCCGTGCAGAGGTGGGGGCAGCAGCCTTCGGTGGGGAGATAAAAGCCGGCGGAGCAGGCCCAGATGCCACAGTCCATCTTCACGCCGCAAAATGCCAGGAACGTTGTGGCACTTCCTCAGCACCGGTCGCTCGGCGAGCATCAACGGTGAGTAGCCAGCCCTCAGGCCCAGCAGGTCCCCTGTCGCAGCTAACACACCGTCGTCTTGCAGATGGCGGTCCCGGCTTCTGGGGCGACCCGGACGCCATCTTGATGGCCGTCTGGGACAACCACTCCGGCAGCTGGGTCCCCCCATACGACTTTGAAGAAAGCCTCAGCGCACAGCACAACCAGCCGGGGTCGGGCCTCGTCCAGCCGCCGTCCCCCGCAGCTCCCACCTTGATCAGCAGCGAGAGTGAGGCGGGGTCGCCAAGCTCGGTGGTATGGACGGGGACTTACCCCAAGTCGCCGCTGACGCTGACCGTCCCCAGTGACTCGGATAGCAGTGCTTCGTGGCAGACCGTTGACGAGGTGGGCAGCAGCAGCGAGAGCTCCAGCAGCGGTCCGAGCGTGATCCCTGCCACCCCAGAACCGCCCGTGCAGAAACCTCAAGGACCGCAGCCCGTCGCCGGGCCCTCCCACGCATCAGGCCGCAGCAGTAGGCGGCCACCAACAGCCTGGTGGAGTGTGAGGAGGAACACCGCAAGCAGCAGGCCCCGATCGATACCTTCTGGCAGGATCGCCGCCGCCAGGCCACCGAGTCCGCCGATCACGCCGCCTTCCTCAACGAGGAGGCCTGCGAGGCCAAAATGGCCCCCAAAATGGCCATGGTAGAAGACCAGGAAGAAGTGCTGTGAATCCGAAGAGTGAATAAACTAAATTTGGTGAAGGAAAAATGGCATTGTTATTATACCCGAGAGCAGGCGTGCAGGAGAAGCAGGGAAAAAAAGCGCAAGGGACCTACACGGACAAACACGTTTGGCATATCAGCAGGGACGGCACAGCACACAAACAAGGGACGCGAGCATGCAAACAGGCCTGTCCC